TTTCCCTTTTTGCCAATGCACCGGCAGTGGCTGCGTGGGGCCTTGGGCAGGGCAGCGCCTTCGAGGCAAAGGCCCGGCGGCCGCAGCCCTTTCTGTCTGGCTGCGCGTCCGGGGGTTTGTCTGGCTCTGTGGGCCGGGGCGCGTGTAGCAGCCTGGCAGCGCCCGCGAGGGGACAGGTGGGGGTGTCAGTCGTGACTCCCCGCAGGCCAGAACTTGGTTTGGGGAAGGAGCTATTTTCTGTTTCCTATTCATGTGCTCGTGACTAATCCGCTTCTCTTTGGAAGCTTCAGGGGGCAGCCCAGTTAGTCTGTACAGGATACACTTAAAAAACAACCAATAGTCTATAAAGTGCTACCAGAACAACAAAACGAGATGGTTTCATGGGCACAGCCCACTCTTCAGATGACCAGAGCGTCTCTTTGTTGGGCTCTAAGTAGCTTCCTGGTCATGACCCCTTTAGTAGTGAAACTTTGACATTTGATTAGGACAGTGGTCCCCAACCTTTTTAAGCACAAGATCATGTTTTGAATTTAAATGCAATCCAGGATCTACCTCAAACCCAAATACCTTTTCCCTGCCTCTTTTGTGTCTCTTCTCCGAGGCCCGGCCTCTGTTCCCTCCTTTTCACCGGGTCGGGGCACAAGGTCTGGTCTTGTACAGGAGGGTGTGCAGGATACAATTCTGTAAGGGAGTTTGGGCCCCGGGGGCTCAGGGCTAGGACAGGGGTTTGGGGTTTAGGAGGGGATATATGACTGGGGCAAGGGCTCGGAGCTGGCTTGGGTACTGCTTACTTCAGGTGGCTCCTGGTTTGTGGGGCCACCTCTGCTCTGGCCCTGCACCACACTCAAAAGCAGCCAACAAACTCCCTCCATCCCAAGCCCGATTGTGCCCCCCGCCCCAATTCTGTGGAGATAGAATTCAGGGTGGGAGGGAGCCCCCTGACATCAGCACCCCCCTCCTTTCTCTTTCCTGCTTGGCTCCTGGAGGGGAGGCAGCACCAAGGCAAAGAGCAGGAGATGTGCAGCGGTGGGGGGAGGGGCAGCTCAAGTGTTGTGTTTGATAGGCTCATGGCCAAACCAGTTAGGATTAGAGAGGCTCCAAGATCTACCAGTAGATCCTGGTCTACTGATTGGTGACCACTGGATTAGGATTTGATCCTCAAATCTTGACCTGCCACTAAATTAAAGATGCTTTATTCAGCCTCTTACAAAATTCAACCCATTAAATCACAACAGTTTAGTTTTAATGCATATATTATAATCCATTATGACCTTTCTGAATTGTTAAATGAGTCTAAATTATTTCATTAGCATACTTCTAATTAATCTATTTAGATAGGGTAGGTTTATTTGATCTGACAGCTTCTGTTTGACAAAAAATAATGTACTGGGTCAGCATGATTTCCTGAGAAAGGTCATTGGATCCAGACAAAGTACCCGCCAGTTTGTTTGTGTTTTGAGATCAGTCTATTGAATTTGGCAAGCACTAGAGCTATAAAGGACAATCTGGCTTTCAAGAAGCATGAATAATTTTAACTTTTTTATGTTACCTAGAATATATTTGGAATGCAATGGAAAGGAATAACACAGCCTAGTTTAAATTAAACTGTCATGAGTGTTTGACATTTGCTGTGATTTGAATGACTTTTTGCTCTGCTTTTGCAGGTATTTGTATTTGATGTTGGAGGAAAAACTTGGAAATTCTATGATTGGTCACAGATTACAACTATAGCAACTTTTGGAAAGTATGACCCTGAGCTATTGTGTTATGCTCATTCTAAAGGATCCAGGGTAGTATTAAAAGGTTGGTTACAATTAAGGAAATGTGGGCATTTATTTATTACATTTATAAGGGACTAGTATGCCCTCTTTTGCATAGGGCCATAATACACTACAATTCCACCCAGATTTTTTTTTAAACTATAAAACAGGCAAAGCTCCAATTCCTTCTGCTCCATTAGTTGTAAAACTACTTCAGTGGCAGTGAAATACATGATCTAGTGGGAAAGAGATCAGTAGGAACCATGTGAGAATGGAAAGGAAGAAGTGGGAGGAGGAAAAGCATATACAGGACACGTGTCAGGTCTGTACTCAGTGTATTTGTATAGTAATGAAAAAATCAAGTATTGAATTAAGGAGCTATAACTCAATCTTAGAGGTTCTTGGACAAGAATATCTCAAATATATATTAGGAGGAAAATTTGTGTGTATAGCAGGAAGCCGGCTAAACAACCAGTGGGGCCCTTGGACGATCGATTGTAACCTATCCTTTAAATCGGCTTCCATACCTAATTATTGGAAGATAGCTAACATGACACCAATATTTAAAAAGGGCTCTAGAGGTGATCCTGTCAATTACAGAATGGTAAGTCTAATGTCAGTACCGGGCAAATTAGTTGAAACTATAGTAAAGAATAAAATTGTCAGACACATGGATGAATATAATTTGTTGGGGGAAAGTCAGCATGGTTACTATAAAGGGAAATCATGCCTTATTAATCTGCTAGTGTTCTTTAAGGGGGTCAACATATATGGATCCAGTGGATATAGTATACTTAGATTTCCAGAAAGCCTTTGACAAGGTCTCTCACCAAAGGTTCTTAAGTAAAATAAGTTGTTATGGAATAAGAGGGAGGGTCCTTTCATGGATTGATAACTGGTTAAAAGATAGGAAATATAGGGTAGGAATAAATAGTAAGTTTTCCGAGTGGAGAGAGGTAACTAGTGGGGTCCCCCCAAGGGACCCATCCTATTCAACTTATTTATAAATGATCTAGAGAAAGGGGTAAACAGTGAGGTGGCAAAATTTGCAGGTGATATCAAACTGCTCAACATAGTTAATACCAAAGCAGACTGTGAAGAGCTTCAGAAAGATCTCACTGAACGAAGAGATTGGGCAATAAAATGGCAAATGAAATTTAATGTTGATCAATGTAAAGTAATGCAAATTGGAAAAAATAATCCCAACTATATATACAATATGATGGGGACTAATTTGGCTACAACTCCTCAAGAGAGAGATCTTGGGAGTCATTGTGGATAGTTCTCTGAAAACGTCCACTTAGTGTGCAGTGGCAGTCAAAAAAACAAATAGAATGTTAGTAGTGATTAAAAAAGGGATAGAGAATAAGACAGAAAATATCTTATTGCTGCTATATAAAAACATGGTGCTCACATCTTGAATGCTGTGTACAGATGTGGTCGCCTCATCTCAAAAAAGATGTATTGGCATTGGAAAAGGTTCAGAAAAGGGCAACAACAATGATTAGGGGTTTGGAACGGGTCCCATATGAAGAGAGATTAAAAAGACTTGGAATTTTCAGCTTAGAAAAAAAGAGGAGACTAAGGCAGGATATGATAGAGATCTATAAAATCACGACTGGTCCCACGGGGGCTCCGGTGCTGCGCAGCCTCCTCCTCCTCTGCATGTGCAGCGCTGCTGCTGGGAGGAGGAGGGGTGACTGGAGTTGAGGAGCTGCTCCTGGACCTCGGTGTTTTAAAACTGCTGCCTACGTCGAACCCGGCTCAGGCTCTGCTGTCCCTCTCCCCTTGGGGCGTGCTCGGGCTCTGCTACTCCCCCCACCTGCGGCATGCTTGGGCTCTGCTGCCCCGCATGCGTTGCTGCTCTCTCTCTCCCCTGCGCCCCTCCTCAGCCTGCTGGGGAAGTGGCAGAGTTTAATATGGTGGGGATGTTCGGGGTTTCTACCCACCCCCCCCCCCCCCCCACCGGGAGGAATCGTCTGGGGTGGGGTGGGGCGAAAGAGGGCCCCCCCCTCCCCCCCCCCCCGAAATCAGAGCATGCTCCCTGGAGGTTTTCCCTGCTGCAGCAGGGTGCCAAGCCAGGTAAGTGTCCCCCCTCATGCCCAGACCCCGCACCCAAACCCCCGTCACTCTCCTCCCCCTGCCAAGACCCCGCATTCTGAGCTTTCTCTGACACCCTGCCCCAAGTCCCCTCCTGCACCCTCCCTCCTGGCCAGATACCCTGACCCGAGACCCTCCTCTGTCCTCCCTCCTGGCCAGACACATGACCTTATTTAGCATTTGTTTATTATTATCCTTACTTTTTTGTGGTCTATGTTTTCAGCTCCGTGTACCAGACTTATTAGAGCAGTCTTCCTGGGGCGGTTGTGGCGCATTGTGACCCCCAGGTCCGGTGTTTTTGTTTTGTTTTTTTTTCTTGACAAAATCATTGGTGTTCCCCATTTAAAAAAATTATTGTTTGGTATTCCTCAGTCTTAAAAAGTTTAAGAAACGCTGCTATACACAAATCAACCAACCCATCCCACACTTGAATTGACTCCACTGTGCAGTCCACACAGACTGGAGATAAAGTACAAGGTAGAATAGTCCTCCTCCCCCTTCTTCCCCCCCGCCCCTATAGCTACCATTGCTCAAGTAAATGGAAAATTTATTAAGATTTCTTGTTTAGGGGATGTACCTGTGAAGGAAATTGTTGACGCTGCTAACAGAACAGCCTGGATAGCACAACAGGTGGACCTGGCCAAAAATCAGTATATGGATGGAATTAATATAGACATAGAACAAGAAATTGATGAGACGTCACCTGAGTACTATGCATTAACGGCTTTGGTTAAAGAAACTACTGATGCTTTTCATAGTGAAATTCCAGGATCACAGGTAAAAACAAAATGTATTTATAAAATCAGATTTTAACTCTGTCAAGTCCTGGCAGTTTATTCTGTATGTATATAAAACACTTGTCTGCAAAGTTCTGTGGAAGCCTCTGGCACTATTTCCTAAATGTGCATTGTTAATTATATATTATTAGCATTATTATAGTGTTTAGGAGCACCTCACTGAGCTAGGTGCTGTACAAATAATCAAAAAATGTCTGTATTCTCTTTTTCTCCTAAGAATAATTGAAAATATATCCTTTATGGACCTTAAATATTAAAAAAGAAGCAGTTTCACTTGGATTTACAGTATTTTTGTGACAATCCCTTTTGGTGTGTTGGCTGCAAGTGGTAAATCACCTGTTTGTTATAACTTAATGAAACTTGGAAAATACTGATGTTTAGCATGTTGTTAGAAACATTTTATAAATCTTTAGTGATCTTATTGCTAAAATATTAATGAAGAAGGTAACCCTGTGTTTCATGTTCTTAAATAGATTATTTGTCATAGTTTGTAATCGTGTGTGTGTATGTGTGTGTGTGTGTATTAAATTATGTACCCACTAGTCTTTCCAGACATATTTTTTAAAAAGGTGAATTAGATTTTGGTTCCACAAGTTTTGGCTTTGCCCTTTTTATGCATATTAATGTTATAGTTGTAAAAGCAGATTTACTCTGAAAATTGAGAAATATTTGATAATTTTACGGCATTTTAGCTGAACAGTTCCTTTTTATAACCAAATAATATCAAATAGGGCCACATTTTGAAAACATCCCCCTAAAGTTTTGCATAGTTTTGCTTTAGAAAATAAATCTGCAAAGCAACAGAATATATACATTTCACACTAGATATAAAATTGTGCTTTTCTCCATCAGGTCACCTTTGATGTGGCTTGGTCTCCAGCGTGTGTAGACAAAAGATGCTACAACTACAGTGGGATTGCAGATGCCTGTGATTTCTTGTTTGTGATGTCTTATGATGAGCAGAGTCAGATCTGGACAGACTGTATTGCAGGAGCCAATGCTCCCTACAATCAGACCTTAGATGGTAAGAATCAGTTAGTAACTGGCACATTTTCTCTTTTAAAATGAATGATTGGAAGGGGACACTTTTTTCTTTAAATATATTACGTTTCTTTGGATTATATTATTTAATGTTTTCTTGAAGCCTTTGATACTACTAAAATGGAAGGCTGGAATACGGAAACAGAATTCCCGCCCAAAGGTAGAATCTATAAAACAGTGGGAAGGTAGGAGTTTCTTTGTCTTTGGCTGGCATGGCACACCCAAGAAGACGATCCAAAGACCCCAGGGTAAGGAAACTTCCATGGCTTGAAGGCTTAGCTGGAACAAGAACAGTTTTAGTGTGAGTTTGTAATAAGTTTGTCCTGAGGTTTTAGGGTTAAAATTACCTAAGCCAGCGGTGGCCAACCCACAACTCACGAGCTGCATGTGGTTCTCGAAGAAAAAAGTTGCGGCTCCTGATGGAACCGGGACAGAGCCTGGCACCGCTCAGGTCAGCTTCTGTGAGCCACATGTGTGCTTGCAGCCCGTGCCGTTACGCTCACGGCCCCCAGCGCACTGGGTTTTATCCTGCATGTGCAGGCTGGGTCGCACACAGCATCCCAGCCTGCACGTGCAAGCAGTTGGTTGCTGAGTGCAGGCAGCAGTGAGGAATCCGGGTGCGGTGGCGGTGCCAGCAGTGGCTCTGGGTCCTGGACATAAGGTTAGTGGGGGAGGGGAATTGGGTTAGAGCGGGGGGAGATGCCTGGCTCTGGAGGAGGAGCATTGAGTTAGAGCAGAGGGGAGATGCCTGGCTCCTTGAAAAGGGGGAAGGAGGAGGAATTGGGGGGGAGGTGCACATGGCATCCCGGATGCACGTGGTGGTAGCAGCGGCTCTGGCTCCTGGTCCCGAGCATAAGGTTGGGGGGAGAGGGATTTGATTAGAGGGGTGAGGGGAGGTATCTGGCTCTGGGGGAGGGGAGGAGGATTGGGTGGGGGGGGCACATGGCGTCTTGGGGGGAGAGGGATTTGATTAGAGGGGAGAGGGGAGGTATCTGGCTCTGGGGGAGGGGAGGAGGATTGGGTGGGGGGTGCACATGGCGTCCTGGCCAGCTCCTGCTCAAAGCCTGCTGCTCAGGGAGGGAGATGCGTGGCTGTAACCATGGCAGCGGCTCCGGGACCCAAGAATTAGGGTAGAGCGGGGGGAGAGGGATTGGGTTAGAGCTGGGGGGGGTGTGCCTGGCTCTAGTCTGGGGGAGGGGAAGGGAAAGGAAGGAAGGGAGATTAGGCTGGGGGGGGCGCTCAGGGCATCCCAGCGAGCACATCTCAAGGCCGATTGCCCAGCACATGCGCCCCAAAGCCTGGAGGGAGACACGTGTGACTGTAGTGGCAGTGGCTCCGCCTCCGGGACCCGAGAATTAGGTTAGAGCGGGGTAGGGGGATTGGGTTAGAGGGGGACCGGTACCTAGCTCTGGGGAAGGGGAGGGGATTGGATTAGAGGGAGGTATGTGCCTGGCTCTGGGGAAGGGGAGGAGGATTGGGTTGGAAGGTGTGTGCCTGGCTCTGGGGAAGGGGAGGAGGATTGGGTTAGAGATGGGGGAGGGTGTGTGCCGGGGAGGGGAAGAGCAGCCAGCACTCTTCCTGAGACCTGAGATCCCCAGGTACTGGCCCCAGCTGTCTCTGTCTCCTCCCCCTGGCCAGATCCCCCACACAAGTACCTGCCCCAGCACCCTGTCCCCTGCCCCCACCAGCTGTGCCTGGCTCTGGGGAAGGGGAGGAGGATTGGGTTAGAGATGGGGGAGGGTGTGTGCCGGGGAGGGGAAGAGCAGCCAGCACTCTTCCTGAGACCTGAGATCCCCAGGTACTGGCCCCAGCTGTCTCTGTCTCCTCCCCCTGGCCAGATCCCCCACACAAGTACCTGCCCCAGCACCCTGTCCCCTGCCCCCACCAGCACAGTTGTGGCCACATTAGTGAGGCTTGGGGGGTTTTAGAGGGGTTGGTTTTTAGCATCTCACTTGTGTGGCCCCAACTGACTTTTCTGTGGGTCAGTGACCCCCTGACTCAAAACATGTTCCCCGCCCCTCTCATAAATAAAGACAATGCTGAAACATTTTGTGTTTGACATATTTTATTTTAAAATGAAGCCTGGCCAAGCCCCCATCTGGCCACAGCATCATAACACTCCTGCACCCTCCCCCCAGACCTGAAACCTGAGCCTGACATGCACTGGAACCCCCTGTCCTGAGCCTCTCTCATCCCCAAACTCCTGCACCCCCACATCCCCTGTCTTCTGCCACAGCACTCCTGCACCATCCACACACTGCAAATCTGTGTCCTGAGCCCATCGTACTCCCTGCCCTGAGCCCCTCATGCACCCCAGCCCAAACTCCTGCACCCTCACAGCCACAAACCTGCGGCTTGCTCAGCACCCCAACCCCACATGCCTGAAGCCCACACCCTGAGCCAGCATCCTCTTCTCTACTTCTTCCTGTGCCCAAATTCCCTCCCAGAGCTTGTACCTCTCATCCCTTCCCAGTGCTTTTTTGTGAAGGTATGCCCCGGGATGGTGTACCAGCACCTATTTTCCCTTGGTGTGGATTTTTTTTTCTCAATAACTCCCCCTCCTCTCCGCACTCTGTCCACTGCTACTTTGGTATGTGGCTCTTCGCATCCTTCCACTGCTGTTTTGGCTCTTCATCTCTAACGGGTTGGTCACCCCTGAGCTAAGCATTTTCTGTTTGTTTTTTTTAAAATTTGTAATCTACTTTGTGCTGCCTGTTCTCATTTATAACCTCTTAAATCCTACTGCTTGTACTGAATAAAATCACTTTTATTTACTATCAAGCCCAGTGTAAATAATTGTTATCTGGGGGAGCAATCAGTCTGTACATCCTACTTTCATTGTTAACGGGGGCTTCCCTAAATAATTTATTTGGGTTTCTGATCCCATTTGAGGAGTAGAATCCCAGGATCTGGGCCCAAAACTGCATTTTCCTTAAACCTGAAGTGTCTGTACTGCACTTTCGTGGGAGAGGCCCTAGAGAGTGAGAAGGCGAGTGTCAGTGGCTTTGTCAGCACTCCGGGAAGTACCTCAAAGGAGTCGTCTTTGACCTCACCCCATCACAACCCATATATAGTTACATTTTAATACTTATAAATTAGCCAGTTTTTAATCCATTTAATGAGAGCATGTTAATTTATATCATTCTAGTTTTTAATCAAAATGTGGAATTATTGAGTGACACGTTTATAAAAGTCTTTTGACAACACTGTTACTTTTTATCAACCGAACGAGTGATCTCATCAGAAAAGATATCAAGTTAGTTTGAAAAGGTCTGTTTTACATAAACCCATATGGATTTGCATTAACTACATTATCTTAGTAAATATATATAGCAGGAAAAAGAAGCATTCATGTACCTTCATATTTTCTTTTAAATTAGGATATGACAGTTACATTAATATGAACATTGAACCTAAGAAGCTTGTGATGGGTGTTCCGTGGTATGGCTATGATTATAAGTGTTTGAATTTGTCCAAGGTAAGATAAAGGCAGTTCTATCATAACTTAGATATTTTTTTCTATGAAATGCTATATAATTTTGGTGTTAGTTTTTTTTTTTTTTTTTTTTAAACAGTAAGGAAGTGCAAAGACTGTGATTTCTAAGATAAGAGCACAGGACTAAAGTTTAAGAGATTAGTGTTCTGGTTGATTCCACTAGTGACTGACTATGTGATCAAGTCATTTTACTTCTTTGCCTCCCTTGATTCCTCTGTAAAATTAAGATGATGGATACTTGGCACCAGAAAGTGCTTTAAAATCTTTGGATGCAATGAGCTTTATAATTATGTAGCTGCTCCTTTTGGGGCATCCTGATCCCTTCTGAAGGGAGTGAAGCCTCTTATTCCTCCCTCCGCTGGGATTTGGTGACCCCCTTTAAGACTAGTAGTCTCTCCGGGTTCTCAGTTCTTGGTGCTTCCATCCATATCCAGGTGCACAAATCAGTAATCAACCTTATGACTTCTAGACTAATATAATTTATGGATACAATAAATCAAGGAATTACATGAACAGCGTTTTGTTCCTGAAAAGAATAGGGGTAAATTAAAAGGAAGGGGGAAAGAAACAAGCAGAGGAATCAAAGATGTTAAATAAATGAGTCCCTAACTTCCCAAAACCTTCAGATTAAAAACCCACAAACAAATCAATATGACAGAGATCTCCTCCCCTACCGTTAGTGCTCCTTGGAAGCCTTACCTTGGGAACTGGAGCTTGATGTGGATGACTAGTCTCTCTTCCTGGGAAGCAGGTTTATTTCTGCTGAACTGGGTCCTGGTGATCTCTAGCTCTGTCTGTTGGGTTCAGCTGGCTTTCAGTTCTCACTGATGCAGTAGAGTCTTGTGGTTGGTATCTCTGTTGTAGAGTTAGGGGCTCTAGGTCAGTCTCAGGCCCTCTGATAGGGAGAGTCAAAATAGCCTTTTCCTCATGATCTGGACCCATGGCCAAGAAACACTGGATACATTCCACAGAGACTAACAACCTACACCCCACTATCAGTCTCAGCCTGGTCCATTCTACATGAGAGATCCATTTCCTGGACACCACAGTACAAATCGCCAATTGCAAATTAGACACCACTCTCTACAGAAAACCCACTGACTCCTACAGTTACCTACATGCCTCCAGCTCCCATCCAGAACACACCATACGATCCATCATCTATAGCCAAGCCCTTAGATACAATCGCATCTGCTCTAATCCTACTGACAGAGACCAGAAACTTCAGGATCTCTACCAAGCATTTATAAACCTCAATTACCCACCCGGAGAAATAAAAAAACAAATTGAAAGAGCCAAACGAATACCCAGAAACCATCTACTTCAAGACAGACCCAGGAAAACCAACAATAGAACACCACTTGTCATCACCTATAGCCCCCAACTTAAACCTGTCCAATGCATTATCAATAAACTACAACCTATACTGGAACAGGATACTACACTCCGAAAGGCTCTGGGAGACAGACCCATAGCCTCCTATAGATAACCACCTAACCTCAGGATGATTTTTACCAACAACCACAGGACATATCACACTAATACCAACCTTGGAACTTTCCCTTGCAACAAACCCAGGTGCAAGCTTTGTCCACATATTTACTCTGCTGACACCATTATTGGACCTAACCATTCCAGTTACAAGATCAAGAACACATATTCCTGTTCATCCAGAAATATAATTTATGCCATCATGTGCCTAAAGTGTCCGTCTGCTATGTACATTGGACAAACATCTCAGACACTTCGCCAAAGAATCAATGCACACAAAACAGACATAAGACTCTCTCACAGAGAGAAAACTGTTGCCTGCCATTTCAGTCAGACTGATCATTCACTTAATGACCTTAAAACATGCATATTGCTTCAAAGAGGCTTTAACTCCAGACATCAACGAGAAACTTCAGAAGTGTCATTCATGCTTAAATTTGACACTTTGGCTACGTCTACACTGGCCCCTCTTCCGGAGGGGGCATGTAAATTTCACGAGTCGTCGTAGGGAAATCCGCGGGGGATTTAAATATCCCCCGCGGCATTTAAATAAAAATGTCCGCCGCTTTTTTCCGGCTTTTAAAAAAGCCGGAAAAGAGCGTCTAGACTGGCCCCGATCCTCCGGAAAAAGTGCCCTTTTCCGGAGGATCGGGGCCAGTCTAGACGCTCTTTTCCGGCTTTTTTAAAAGCCGGAAAAAAGCGGCGGACATTTTTATTTAAATGCCGCGGGGGATATTTAAATCCCCCGCGGATTTCCCTACGACGACTAGTGAAATTTACATGCCACTTCCGGAAGAGGGGCCAGTGTAGACGTAGCCACAATGCTTAGGATTCTTGCATTGTTGATTCACTGAAATAAAGTAACTTAGAGGTATATTAAATGGATGAGTGCAAGAAAAGTTGAATTTTTCAGTAATATATTAACATGAGAGATGTAAAATCCCATTTAATCAATTAACAGGTGAAATGTAATGCTTAACTGGCCCCTGGCCCACAGTATGGCCCAGCAGCCTGGCACGGACCACTCCCCAAGGCATGCTGGGCCTGGCTAGGCTGGAGATGAAGGTCTGCTTCAGCCCAGCCAGGCCCACCACACTGCGGCTGCTCTACCCCAGGTCTGGTCGGGTCTACCTTACTATGGATGGGAGGCTGCTCCAGCTAGGCCACCAGTAACTAGTTATTGGTAAGCACCACTCTTAACAGGAGATGCTTTCCAGGTAATGGTTAACTGTTACCCAGGAGCAGCTGCCATGGGCACAGGGCTGCTCCAGCCCTGCATGTCGCTGGAGCACACTACCTCTGTTTAATCAGCTAACTGGTTAAACTTAACATTTAATTAGTTAACTAAACAGGATATTACATCCCTAGTTACTTTTACTTCAGTGAGACACTCTCATGAGGCTGCTTTTCTTTCAACATGATTTACTTCAAGCAGTTCTCTCCCTCCTCATGTGGTCCTTGACATGCTCAGTCACAAGGGCCAGGCAAAAGAAGGCTTTCTGGGACTTGCAGATGATTGCCTTGGCATGACAGTCAGGGTTTTGGCCAACCGCTGCAGACATTGGGGCTCAAGTATATGAGAGTCAAGTAGCCTCAGTGTAAGGACCAGTCTCAGTCTCCGCTTCTCTTCTGCGAAACCTGCTTTTTTCAAGCCCTCAAATTGGCAAGGAGGCTTCAAGTACAAAGTATTACTGATTTGGTATTACTATACTGCAGATCAAGTAGCCTCAGTGTAAGGTCCAGTCTCAGTCTCCACTTCTCTTCTGCGAAACCTGCTTTTTTCAAGCCCTCAAATTGGCAAGGAGGCTTCAAGTACAAAGTATTACTGATTTGGTATTACTATACTGCAGATAATATTAAGTGAATGTTAGTGGTATTTATTTCCCACAGTAGACTGGTATGAGGGACTGCAAATTATTAATTTCAGTTCAACAATTTGAACTTCTGTCTCTACTTTTTTTGAAACAGATAGTAATTCATATCTAATGTGGGTATTTAGTTATTTTTGGCATTTGCCTCTTCTGACTTTCTTCCAGGCTTATCCCTTCTGAATGGTTTAATAAAATCCAGGTAACACAAACCAGAACTCCTGTTTTTTTTTTTTTCCAGGAACTTGTTTGTTTCCTCCCAAATATTCCTTTTCGAGGGGCTCCATGCAGTGATGCCGCAGGGAGTCAAGTCCCCTATAGAGTAATAATGAAGCAGGTGAATAGTTCTATTTCTGGAATTCTGTGGGATGAGGAGCAGAAGGCTCCATATTATGACTATAAGGTAAGCCCTTTTCTACATAAGCTTTTTTGAGCTATGGACTAAATGTACATGAACCATAGTTCTGTTCTTAATAGGTTAAATTCTCAGGTGTTATCTAGTGATCTCTCCATTCTGTCATGCTTATGTGTTGCAGAGTGGATGGATTCCATCTTATCTTGTGCAGGGGAACTCTCCATTGACATTAGGCAGGCAGAAGCAGCAGAGCCGGTTCCTACTCTAGTCTGTCACCTCCTCATTGAGAGACAGAATGCATGTAATGCCAGGAAGGGGGGTTGGTGAGACAGAGTACCACCATGCCAGTGCTTCTCAAACTGGGGATACCTTGCACTGGTCTATGGCTCAAGCTCAGTTCCCCTCCTTCCCGCCTGTGCTAGCACCCCCTTCCCCCTCCTGGCCACACACTGCACCCTCCCTTGCTCTTACCCTCTCCCACTGGCCAGACACCCTACTCCCAGCTTGCTCCTGCAACTTACCTCCCACCCAGACCTTGCAATCTCACCCCCTCATGCATTCCACCTCCTGACCAAATCTTGCACCCCCATCTCTATTCCACTTGCTGGTAGCCCTGTCCCACAATTGAACCCCTCATTTTTGGCCTCACCCCAGAACCTAGGAGGATCCACAAAATCCACTAATCCCAGAATCTCAGAAGAGTTAATCTGGCCTATTGGAATCCCTGAACCTCAGTCTTCCTTGTCTCCCCTCCCCCCCGTCCCACCATGAGGCTGGAGCGCCAGAGGAGTGAGGTGTCTCATTTGGGGACCACATCAGTGAGGGTTGGGAGTTTTGGAGGGGTGTTTCTTTGCTTCTCACTTGTGTGCTCCCCAACTTATTTTTCTGTGGGTCAGTGCCCCTGATCCAAAAAAGGTTCCCCACCCCTGCCATAAATAAAGATCATGTTGCAACCTTTTGTGTTGGACATAAATTAATATTTTACTTTATTTAAAATGAAGTTTGGTAAGCTAACATGAGCAACGTAAAGTGTTTAATCTGTTTAATAGTTTTGATTTATTTCCTTTCTTACCAATTAAATTAAGCTGTTCTCCCTACCAGCTGCTCTAGCAAAATGGCTCAGGCATAATTATATAATTAACAGCAAGTTTTCCAGTAGGGATGTCAATGTGTAGACAACTACATGATTAACCAATAAGACTGGGCTTATCGGTTAATCCTGTCAACTACACACATTTCCCCCTCCCCTGCTGCCTTTAGGCTGGCTCCCCGCAAGCATCCCTTTCCCTGCTCCCCCTCCCCACTGTGCTGCTACCTCTGATGTAGAGGCATAGCGCGGAAGGCCAGGGTGGCAGGCAGGAGCTGATATGCACGTGGAGCCAACTCCATGCATCCTAATGCCCTTGCTGCCTCCTACAGAGCTGTTTCCCTACCTCTGTCCCTGCTGCTGCCTCTGAAAGGAGCAGCAGCATTGAAGGGGACCAAGGGAGACTCCTGGAAGGCCTCATTTTTTGAGGAGTAATGTTAGTTCGAACCAAGGGGTTTGGTTCGAATTAACGCGTCCCGGCACACACTTTCACTGTCAAAACAGCTGGCATTCGGGGTAATGTGCCGGCGAGATCATGCTAATGAAGCGTGGGATATTTAAATCCCTGCTTCATTGACTATTTTGAATGCCTGCATTTGCATCCCTAATTCGAACTACGGTGCAAGTGTAGACATACCCTCTCAGAGGCAGCAAGTGGGGGGGATCAGGACCAGGTGTAGGGGGAGCCGGCTTAAAAGCTGGTTTTCCCCCAGCAGCACTTCCACGGGGGACAGGAGAGGTAAGGGGGACCGGGCATCAGCTGTCCTGCTTGTGCAGGGTTCCCCTGCTGCGCTTCAGCCTTTTAAATTCAGCCAGCAGGCTCTTAATACATTTAAAAGGCAGAGCTGCAGCAGGGTTAGCTCCTGGGGCCAGGAGCTAACCCTGCTGCGGCTCCCCTGCTGATCAACTAATTGTCTAGTTGATGGAAAATCCATCAACTAGTCAATTAGTTGATAAAATGAAATTTAACATCCCTAAAGTGTTTTTTCCCAGGAATTGAAATTAGGGGGGGTGTTCGAATTTATGGGTGGGCTGTTAGGGCCAATGAGGGGTGAGACTGTGAGGGTGAAGGTGGGCTGTATAGCACCATAGTAAAAACTGAAAAATGTTTCATGACCATTTTATTAGATTTAACTCGTTTTAAAATCACACAAATTAAAGTTGGCTACTCGAGTCTTCTATGAAGCACTAAGTCTACATCCGTCTTGATTTCTTGTTATAATTTTTCACAATTCTTTTAATGAACTTCTTGAATGCAATGCGTTCATCTTCGGTGGCTTCTCGTGTGTTCGGTACTTCCATTCCTTCAATTGATATGCTCGTTAGTTCATTCCCATGATCAGGCAGAAGGCGACTTCTTTCAGAACACAAAATTCTATTCAATGATGGAAAAAGAACGCTCAACTGTAGCTGTTGTGACTGGAAGTAGCAAGAGATGAATTGCTACTTCTTTCATCCCAGGAAACAGAGCACAAAGATCCGGTCGAGCCACTAGTGATGATAAAAAAGAAGTTGAAGTCAAATCTTCATTCATTCGTCGTATGATATTCCACTCTGTGTTCAATTCTCTATTCTGTCCCGAGCACATGGCAGCCCCATTGCTGGTAGTGCCTCATTCCACTCAATTGTCATTGTTTTATTGGACAGGCATCTGTAAAAGCTAGATAGAGGTTGAGTAGAATCTAGAAGTCGCTGTTGTAGATTTTTAAGAATCAAGTCTGTGTACTTTTTCAGTTGTCTCAACAAACACTTCTTGTCCTCTTCACTTAAGGATTCAATATAAATGCCTTCATTAGTCAACTTCTGGAGTGAAATCTTTGCTTCTTCCAGTACTTTTTCAATGGATAGCTCTCTGATCCAAATGTAGCTTCTATTACTGGACAAAGATCTACTACTGTTGAAGCAGATGCCTGGATGGCATTGTTTAATGACCCAAGTGGTCTCGACAGTAGATTTACGAGAGCGAGAATGGCAATAGTCTTCTCTGAATGTAGTAGCAAAAGTAATCCACCAGCCTCACTACTTAGATCCAGCCCATCTTGGTAGATACTTTCCAAAGCCAGTAATAATGGCTGGAGTAATTTTAAGATAACAGCCAAGGGTCGCTCATGAGAAAGCCAGCGGGTTTTCCCAGATTGGACTAATTTGAACTTCAGTCCTAGTGTATTTTCTATATTTTCCAAGATATTCAGTCTTTTTAGACTCTTGCTGAAAAAAGAATATAATGAAGACATTAGATTTATAGCTTTTTAAGTGTCTTTTGAAGATCCTGCAGCTCATACTAGTGCTAGTTGGAGTAGAGGGCCTCTGCAGCACGTGCAGGAGAGATCAGCGTTACACTTTTCTCTGAGCAAAGCTTGTACTCCACCATGTCTTCCAGAGAAGTTTGCAGCTCCCATCAAATGCACAAGCAACCATCTGTTTGGGGTCCAGTCGACAAGCATTTAACTCTTCTAAGATGTAGGTTGTCACAGATGCAGACAATGTGTTTTCTATAACTTGAACATCTAGAAATGCATCTGCTGGCCTACCACTGACATCAAGATAATGTACACAATGACTTAATACTTGATTCCCATTTGCATCGATGCATTCATCAGCCATGTATGCAAATTTTTTGAATGTGGTGAGAGTTCTTCACTTTTTCAACTGTTGAGTCTTTCTCTGTTGCTTCTAGCCAGTCAGTTGAGTTTCTTGCAGAAAAATAGTGAGCATTTGCTGGTCTTGTTCGGAACCAGTGTTCAATTTCAGGATGAACAAGTGACAGTGCACTTAACATTGGCCTCCAGTGTGTAGTGTGTGGTATCTCTTGCTTAAATAGAAAGTATGATGCCACAGCCATGTTTGTTCACATGAACTGTATTGTGTCTCCAGCATTCTTAACAGCCTCATTATGTAGTTCTAAAATTGGCTTTGAAAGTGGGTTTATAAGGCTTTCTGCATGTTGTTGCAGTCCAGAGGCCTGGTGTTTTGCTGCCTTTTCACGTAGTTTGTCAGCATTGGCTTTGCTGATTGGTCTGAAAAACCAAGCTCCTCCACTTTTACCAGTTATAGCATTGGAATGGTTTCCTTCTTCGTAAGCTTTTTTGCAAGAGGTGCACTAGTAGCCATCATTTGTAACTTCAATAAATGGGAACACTTTGATCGACAAACATCAGGAACTGCCTTTAGATTTTGGAGAGACAGTTTCTTCAGTGGGTAGCTGTATTTGTACTTCAGGCTGATCGGATGTAGATACACCACTTGACCCTTCAGATGACATGTTGATATATTCTTGGGTCTTGATGTGTTCTTCATCTTGGTTAGTTTTTGAGGCTTTTGAGTGGAAAAATCGTTGTATTGTGTGGAAGCAAGTGATTTGTATGCAGCCATTTTTAGGTTTGTTAGCCTAACTCTTGTTCTGTTACTAACTCTGAGGCCTGACAACGCGATATTTGTAGAGACACAATGTCTCTGCTTCACTTTAGGAGATAACGATGGAATGCTGACTCCAGCAGGGACCTTGGGATAGGGTAGCGTCTGGGAGGAACTAAGATAACTGTTAGCCTTGTTTTATGTAATGGAAAGGCTAACAAGTATATAAACTGCTTCATAATTGCTTCTTCCAGGGGGGGTCTCCCTCCACCCCCACCCAAATCAGGCTTCTCTTGCAATATTGCTCAAATAAACTGCCTATGGCTACTTGTTGCTTACAAACGCAAAATGAATGCTTGTTTTCTTCCACAGTTGTTTTTTTCTTTTCATTTTCACTTTGACCTGCAACGTATAAAAGAGATATGAATAAATTAAATGTTTTGTTAGGATAATGCAAATTTAACATAAGGATAATCTTTGCCAGGGGATGCTATGAAGACCAAAACTATAATAGCATTAAAAAAAGAACTAGATAAATTCCTGGAGAATGGGTCCATCTGTAGCTATTTTGCTTCTTCCAGTACTTTTTCAATGGATAGCTCTATGA